CCAGGCTTCTTTCTCAGTACAAAATCTTCGTATTAGTTCATGCTCAATAGTCAGTCTCATCGCCTTTTGCTTCTAGCCAGCAGGGAGTTTTCTTCACCATTCATACATGTTCAACAACCTCTCGGAGATAGAGTGACTGGTACGGTGGCAAATGATAGTGCCTCAAACAGATTCGCTCGCGTCGTGCATGGTATTCGAGATCCTATTCCCCTTAAGTCCAATGCCATTAATACGAAAGAACGAATTTTCATTGCGCAGAGCATCCTGGTAGGCTCGTCTAACCAAGGAATGAGATAAACTCTCAGTCGCCAATCAAAAGGCGCTTGATACGCCATCCGCAACGCATATGAAAAAACGATAGCGTACAAAAGTATGATCAGGACCGACACAAGTATTGTATAACGAGTGACAATCAAAGTTGGGACCATGTCACCTGTAAATTATGGTAACGTAATCAACTTGGGTCTTTGTCTGGACAACAATAGGCGGAATGCAGGTGACAGTTCGACGCGCACTATGTCTGAAATTACAAAGAAACTGCCGGTGCTTCGCACGCCATTGAAATGGACACTCACAGTTGTCCGTGTGGTCAGAGTTAAGTCCATGGTTACCAATTAATTGAGCTTCCGACGGGTTCAGATTACCAACGTTAACATTCACATCCCCCGCAACAACAACAATGTCTGTACTGGTAACACTGCAAGGCAGCGTGTTCAGTTCGTCGTAAAACGTGCCCTTGACAGCATCAGAATTGCGGTCGCTGGTAGCATAAGTGGAAGCTTCAAACAAACGACGCGTAGCACTGTTTCGTTAATCAACTTTAGCTAAAATCGTCTAACGGTCTGCAAATAGACAGCTGCTCAGTTGCATCCAATCAGTAACCGATGACTCAGCCTTGGAAGTGAGAACGCTGCACTCCCCAGAATGATCTGTGGTTACCGCATCAGTCTTTCCGGAGGAGTGCGCAGTTATTTCAACAATCCCATGATGGTCCTTGATCCTTATTTCTGACACCAAGGACGAAGAAGGCATAAGCTGGGGGCGGTAAGCAGTACCTGTATCAATACCCGTGGTGCCCAAGTTGCATTCGACTGTAGTCTTTTGACCATTTTTATAGAGTGTGAACTTTGAACGCCGCCAAATAAACCAGATAGTTTGGACTTATAAGGGGCTGCTGCTAGTGGGCATCTAGTGGATGATGCTGGAATGCAGCTACAGATGGTATGACTACAGTAGCATTGAGGCTGGCGTAAATTAAGATAAGAATTATGTAAGGATGGTTAGTAATTGAGGTTGGGGTGTGAGTAAGAGAAACCGTTAGAAATGAATGTGGGGAAGCATCAGCGGTGGAAAGTTTTGCTTATCCACCACGTTGTAGGTAACAGAAAAGTTATCTCTTGACAAGGTGCGCGACGTCCGACGCAAGATGCAGTTGAATGTGGAGGAAACAGAGCTTGTTGTACGTGGGTTGAGATACTGCCAGGACGCCCAGACGTAGACAGGATGTGGATTAGAGTCCTCAACCAAAGCCTTTGGCTCATAAGTTTGGCTGCATGGCAGTAGGGAGATGACTGATTTGTTTTTATTGTAATGGACGACACCACAGTTCCGAGCCCAAAAATGGAGGATCAGCATCCTGAAATTTTCTTACTTATAATCATTGACCAAGGTGGTAGGAGTAGCTGTCAGGTGCCCCGGAGGCACCACCCAGTGTACCTCAATGGGTCAGGTAGGTACGCAACACAACCATCTTTAACTCAAGCCTTGTTGCTTTTGCAAGTAGGAGCTCAAAAGATACGGAAGGGTCCCGGTTCTCGAGGTATGTAGAAAACATGGTGGATAGTTCAACCACTACTCATCGCGCCGCCGCATCCTTTATCCCATAGTATGTACACAAAAGAAACTGCCGTTTTGCTTATTTTTTCAACTAAATAATTTTTAGCATTTAAGGGCCATTGGATTATTTAAAAAACATGTTTGGTTCTTACTGCCCAAACTTTTTATCAGTATTATCAGTTTGATCTTTAATACAATTTGAACATTTAAAGGATGGACCAAACTTCCACTAAACATCTTCTTCATCCTTCGATTAAACTTGTTATTCGTCTCGATAGAGGTACTTTATTACTGATCAATGCTTATGAAAAATATAATGTGCTACTTTTGTATTCCATTTAGATGATGAATTTCTTAACATTATTAACCTCCTTCCATGAGAGCATAGGAAAAATAAAAACTGGCGTTGGTGTTGAATGAAACTGTTCCATGAATGTGCGTGCTTAAGTTGCGCGCCCTGTTTGGCTATGTTTTACAGCGAGTCCATCTATTTTGGAATCTAACACTTACCAACGCCGTATGAGCATCTAATTCCTAGCGATTGTTGTTTAGCTACATTGAAGCTAACTTTGGCTTTCGCGTTTACTTTCCAGAGCCAGTTTCCTCCACCATTGACGCATAGCACAAGTTTGGTAATATTACCATTTTATAGTTTTTGAATGCTGGCAAAGTTCATCTTGTGGACAGATCAACCTACGTTAATACTGCGCTTCCAATGCAGAGAATGTAGTGGTTTACAAGATTTGGGAACCGAGCTTAAATTACATTTTGTCTGTTTCAGCAATAAGCAAATAAATTGCGGATTTAAGAACAATCTGGCTTTCAACATTGCTACTTAACATGATCAATAGGGTTCTGGAGAGATCATACTACAAAATGAGTAAAGAGAGCAGGCTCTGGAGTAGCTAAATTATGTAAAGCTTTAAAACGTGATGGTACTGTCTGTCACAAACCTAACAATTATTACCGTGCCTAAAGGTGAAACTCATATTTCCCGGTTATGGAGAAGTTGATGGTGCAGATTTCATGAGTGTATGAACTGAACCTAATTATTATTCTGCTTGGATGGGATCAATAAGTTTCACATTCGCTGGCAAAAATTCACTTCAAACGACTACCAAACAAGCTTCATTTACTAGTGTCTTAGCTACTTTGGCTCATATTAGTGTACCACACCGGAGGTTACCTCATATCATCGTGAAGATTGCGTCATCTATATGGATAAAATATGATGCCAGTGACCTCACCAGTGACTATTGCTACTTCGGCACTACTGCTTCTGGTGTTGATTCTGACGGTAAGGTTTAGCAGTCAAATAATAAACCGGTCAGCTTTGGATGTAAATCGGTTGGTCATTAGGTATTCACCTTTCGCCAACGATTTCTTTGTTCTTGCGTGGGTGATAAGATGTATGATCATTATTTACCTTCGCTTCGCTAAGTACATCGTTTATGCGCAAAACCGAACCGTTCAATGACGGTCGTTTGTCAATGTAGTGATACTGTATTTCCCACCTTTTGTACCTGCTTACAGCTGGCTGGGTGCACAAGTATCAGAAAAACCAGCAGTGGGTAAGTTTCGCCGGAACACGGAAGGAAGTGGGAGACACAATAAAGCGCGGTTCTCAAGTCTACCGATGTGAGTAGTAATCTACGGTTGACAGCATCCAATGCAGTGTTGCAGTCGGCTGACGAGTATTTAAGCGTATCCGCCTAAATGTTATTTTCCAAGCCTAGGAGGATGAGTCTTGTGTTCGTTTGGTGCAAAATCTGACCTATTCAGTGCAAGCAATATGCTTCTTGAAACTCGGCACATCAAATTTTGAAATGCTTGTAAACATAAGTCATCGCAATAAGTCTTCCTCAACAAAGATGGCTCTACCGGAGAGAAGTTTATGACTTAGTTTCTGAAGAAATCTGAGTTAGGCTTCACCCAACACTAATTTGTCATATAACTTCACACGTTGCGTTTCTGAAGGCAAATTTAGTATTTTCACCACACGTGTTGCTTTTTACAAGGTTGATACGCTTGGGTGCCTGAAGACAACACTTATTTCAACTTGGTATCTGCCCTATGTTTTACCAAAATGTTCACCGCATTTTCCACTCCTAATTTACGAAAAAATAACAAAAGTGTCTACGTTAGTAGAAACACGCTAAGCTATAAGGTAATTAGGTGAACAGATGGGTAGACCGGAAGCAGCTGATTTTGCGAACAACGTGATTTGTATCCCAACAAATGCTAGTCAACGTGTTATAACAATAACTCACGCAGTAAATTATTCAAATGATCAATGCAGAGTTCGGTTGAAAATACGTAGTATGAACAATGTGAGCGGTTAAATGTGGTATGGTAGCAGTGTGTCGTTTTGTTATTATCGCAGACAACATCCACCAGGAAAGCTGGTAGAAATTATTTGCTCAACATATATTTAATAGGATGGTTTAGGATAAAACAAATACAAGGAACTTCAACAACAACTCTAGTAAATCTCGGAACTGAGGAGCTTGCTCATTTAGATAGACGATTTATACGTGTCCTCCACAGGCTAAGCATACAAGCATGCGTACACCGTTTTTAATCCCTTTATTTCCACTCCTTGTCTTCTCAGGAATCCCCATGAAATAATTCGTCACAGTCAAACTTTGTGAGACGGACTCCAGACTTGATGTAACTCTTAGTTTCTGCATCTTGTTATTACGAGCTATGCGCAACTCACCTTTCATACATGTGTACGCATTTGGCATCACTACAGTTATCGTATATTGTGGCGAAGTAAGCTTCTGACTGATAGTTGATGGCTGTTAATCGTAAAGACTGAGTAATAGCTGAGACAGAAAACTGCATATTTGCTACCATCAGAGTAAGTTTACGGATTCTCTTATGGTGTGGTGATCCGAGCACACTAGCGTACATCTTTCACGAGCTTGTTTTTTGTGGTTGTGTCGTCACTGACTTGAATGATGGGTCGAAGTGCCGAACGTAATCCTGATGCCTTACAAGCGCACCTATCCCAAAAGTGCAATCGAATAGTTTCCCCACCATATTCAACTATAAAGTATAAGTATGTTCCCGTTTGCCTTTTCCTCCATGTGCATTATGCAAGGTGCTCACAAGATAGATATGATATAGACTTCATTTGGGTACCTTTTTATCCCTTGAAGCTTGTCGCCACTGATCCTGACGAAGGTCCCCGTGGAATGATCAGCTATTCGATTCTCAGCGGAAATGAAGGTGGTTACTTCGAACTGGACTCCAACACGGGTTGGGTATACTTGGCTCAACCACTTCATCAACAGAATTCTATTAGTTCAGGATACACGGTTCAGAGCGAGTATCAATCACCAAACGCTCTCAATTTATATAGCACGAAATCGCACCTTAGCATGCCTTCAATTATGCGTTTATACGTTCAGGCTTCTGATCATGGCAGTCCACCAAGGACATCATCCTCAGTGTTGGATATTCTAATACATCCGCCAGCAAAAGTGCAAGGATCATCGACTACGAAGACACTCAGGCAGCTTGAATTCCGTGAGGCCACTGGAGTGAAAGCGCTAAACGATCGAGCCAATAGACCCAGTAAAGATGTGGAGTTTGGTGTTTCCGAACTAAATTGGCCGCTCAACCATCGGCAAGAGCATCGTGGGTTTCTTCTCTCCTCTGACTTCCTCACACTAATTGCAATGGTTATCGCCACACTAGCAGCATTGGCGCTCATCTTTGTCTTCTTTGTGATTCTCCGATGTCGGAAATTTAAACCCGCCACTGAGATGCCTTCAACTGCCCGAACGGCAAGGTTTTCTTCTACTGAGAGGAGATCTAACTGGCATACAACTGCAAACTTTAGTACTGCAGTGATACCATCTTGGTTGAGTGTAGATACAAGTGGAAAGCGATCGATCGAACCACCATTCTCCTCTAAACTACAACCTTCCACGTTCTGGTCACGTCTCAATTTCCACCTGTGTCCCTCAAGGAAGACGGATGCCAGAACGCTGTCGAATACTGCTGCGTCACACGGTTTGTACGAACATGGTACGACTCTTGGTAATTCACCCGTGTTACTTGCTGATTAGAACGCTCCTCCCTAATAATTTACTAAATTGATCTTGGCAATGCATTATCAATGGCTACTTTTCTACACTGTTTTGCTCAAAAACCGCGTGAAAATATCCAGTCTCTGAATCTTAATCCGCAGAAATTGCTATTTTTATCTCTGACATTTAAAGATACTACTGATATAAATACGCTTCTGCGGAACTTACTGCCGCATTGCATTTCCATTAAACCAACAGCCTTTGGAGCTCTGCGTGACGTTCCGTCCCCAGAGTCATCTTTGCCCGGGGAAGCATTGGTATATTCGAAAAAGTCGATTCCGAACACATCTCATCAGCAAGAAAATGACTTGCTGCACAACTCTACTGACTACTGTCATCTATTACACTCGGCCCATCCTCTGAACGGTAAGTTAATATCAGTTATCCGTATTACTTTCGTTTGATAATGGTGTACCATATATTATTTAAAGAGAGTCAAGTCAGAGCTTATGTATGCCTTTTAACGATCTTGTTGCTTTAATAAATGCCTACTGCTTGCTTTTTGTTATAACTTTTCCGTGAAACCTTTGAACTCACTTCATTTGTTACGTCTGATTGTTGCTACGCTCATCACTTATCAAACGCAAATGATATTAAAGATAATTTGCCGAGTGAGATGTAACAACAAGCCAGATCACCAGCCGTGAGGTAAAAGGTTTCCAGTCATGAGCTGGTGCAATGCGAAGTATTTCGGGAAAAGACAGTCGGAGTTCTTGTGTGATCCAGCCATGTAATAATTCTCTCATAAAAGTCTGACGAATATTGTTCCAGTTGACGTTTCGCCATTTTCATTTATGAATCTCTGTGAAGATTGTTTCATAACATTCATTAATCAGGTCAGAGAGATACTGTTTTCAGCCTAAAAAACAGCGTTACGTACCAGTTAAAACAAAGTTGAGTGATAGTGTTCGTGATTCTTTAAGTAAACCAGAGTTAGCCTGATGTAAGTAAGTGGTGGACAAGATTGTTCTTTCCACTTTACTCGGGGGCACTCAGCCGCTGATCACTAGTATTTATACTTCATCTTTGCAAGGAACTACTGGGTGTGTGATTGACAACGTTTCTAACTAGCATAATGAATTGTGATTGCGTGCAAATTGGCGCCATAGACTCATGCAGTATCTGTCAGATTACACCGACAAACTGGATGGTATCTGCAAATTGAGCACTAAGAATGGGTGTAAACCATCTGGTCTTCACACACATACTTCACGGCACCCCAGTATCCTCAACTTCTTTCTACAGAGATGTCAATTGCCACTGCATCGCATACATTGCAACCTGTCAACATGTACACCTTCTGTCACATTCATGCCTATAAAGATTCAATCATAAACGAGGGAATATTAGCGTAAGATGGACATGAGACTACGAAAGGTTTTAAGCATGTAGGTTTGGAAGCACTTATAACGCTTCTCCCAGCTACAGTGAAGTTTCGTAGCCAAGGAAAAAAGTCATAAGACGATGCGTAAAATAGGTTTCTAATTTTTAAGGCATGGATAGTTTATAATTACTATACCAGATAATGCCACATTGATGCACCCGCACGAAACGTGACAGGTGGAGATAGTGCTCACAAGATATAAGGGATGTCCGGGACCGCTGATGGAATGATACATGCCACAGCAGATAGTTAATACACAGAAACAAATGGGCATCTACTGGAAAGAAAAATGGATTCATGCGGAAAGGAGATTAACTGTGGTTGAAGAACATTATCTCAAAATTGTTAGGTGCACTTCATCGCGCTACCGAGGTAATCCAACTGAAATCCAACGTTAGGAATAAAAGTAAGAGATAGTTAAATTTCGTTTGATAAAATGCCTCAAGCAATGCAGTGTTTACTTCACAGATAAAATGATTGAAATAATTTAGGAAGTCCGGATTTCAGAATGGTTTACAACTTCCCACGTATTACAAAGGGGAGTTAAATATTTCAATGAATTAGGTATACAACTCGGTTAGTCAGCTTGAGAAAAGAAGAAATAGTTTACAAGAATATACATTAATGGTGTTTCAGGTTATGTGTGGAGAGTTGAGGAGTACTGAACGACGATCCGTATTTCGAGGTGGAGAATGATGCTACCGAGGCACCGGTGATGGCATTCGCCTTGACCAAGCAACTAAGTGCGACACAGTTTAACCCAAGAATGTAGAATGAGTTTTACGAACGGGAAAGCTGCAGAGCTTGTCCAATTTTGGTCTTAGACTACCTGCCGTGTGTTTGGATTGCGACACGAAATCTTGATCGAGGCCACAGTATGCTTTGAAACAAACCTATGCCATTTCGGTCACTGGGAGCGCATCAGAAGTTCAGAGTATCGGAGTTGCTCTCTCCCAAAACAGCACTTCACGATAGACCGGTTTCGTCCTGATTCGGTTTCGTCATGTAGATGTAGCTTTAGCTGTGATGGGAATCCGACACAGTGGTTGACGGTTTTCGTCTTGGTCACTAGACCCGTGCTCCACAGCAGCGCTTGATGAAGCGATTAGAAGTTCATTATTTGGTCTTAAAGCAACTGTCGAAACACACCACAGCACCGCTTGTCCAACCTTACTTGTGAACTTTCAGTCGTCTTCGTTCACCTGATAGCATCTCCGTCTTATTTATATGCAGAAAATTTCACCATAATGAATGATTCACTCAGGTGATTGATGACACCTGGAAATGTAGATTTATGCTGTAACCCATTTTACTAGCGCTCAAACCGCAGTCGCTACCATACCAATGATCTGCAACAGTGTCAAGGCGGTAACCTGTTCTACAAACTATGTCAAGTTCAAATGTGCGAAAAACGATGGGTCGACCCCTATAATTTTCATTATATACGAACAATGGGCCACGTATCTGCACGGCGTTGCGGCCGAAACTGCAAACCAATTCGACATGATAATCTGATGTAGCCCGAGACTTTGGCACCTAACATACAATTTAAGTCGAGGTTTTGATCCCGTTGACATACAGAAATGTGAGGTGCCTGGGACTCTGTGGATCATCATGAAAATGTACATTTATTGCGACTGCTGTTTGTAGAAAACGATGGTTAAAAGAGGCGCTCTCGTACGCTTCACTCATTTTAACATGCAATCATAATGATGATGATAATGATGTTAGCTAGTCGAACTAACACTCCGTTTACGGCTTCACATTTCAATTATACGGATGACAACTTTGGATGGGTGTTGAAGGGCACATAGTTCAACACAGTATTTGACGATTCTTGCTCAGGATGCTGCATGGCGTGGTCGTAATTCATTAGATACTGCTCCCTTTACTGACCAACATCATAACAAACAAGATTATTAACTTCAGTATTGGCTTTTATTTTACACCGTGCTTGACGATATCTGCAAACTACGAACAGCGGTCGTTTTATTCAAAATCTAAACAGCTATCTTTGGTGTGCTTTATCAGCACATCATGATGTAGATGGAAACCATCATGGTTTTGCTCACCGTGGCCTTGTAATGAGCCCCATGAGGTTTAAACTTCATCAAATCACAGCAAACGCACTTCCATGACCAGCGTTGCTCCTGTCATTTGTCCAACTTTTTAAACTAATCATTTGGCATAAGCATAACCTTTCCGACATAAGCACAACATCATAATACATTTTTTAACAAGACAGTCGAATGATTTTAAGCACCCTGTTGACAAAGTCGTTGATAACGTGCTCATCCACATTTGTTGTCTCCTAAGCAAAATGCGCTTTTTCTGCGCAGTGGGAATTTACCTGAACCAATGCTTGTCTGAGGTTAGGTTAAAACATTGACCCTTTCCAGTTATGGTAGATAACAGATTTTTCAAACAAGACAACATCATGAAATACATAATAGATAGTACTAGCATGCAAAATACTACTCTCAAAGACAGGTTTCATAATCATTCGTTTTAATCGGATAGGGATAGCCAAAGAGTACAAAACCAACCATCAATTAAAGTTTTGCTCGCAGGCTGCACCCTAAGTCCATCTGCTTTGGTTACAATTCCAGCCATCAAAATGACCAAGGTTAATTACAAAGCAAATCACGGTTCACATAAAGATTGAGTGTTGTAATCAGTCCACGCAGTGTACACTTGAAAATGACTTAATTATGCATCGGAGACCATATACACAATATCATAATGAATGGAAAACGTAGAGAAGAGTTAATGTGAACAGCTTGACAATCACCGCTGGATAAATAACCTTTTCTGTTAAGCTTGCGAGAATGGTTCACCTATCATAAAAGCGTCCCACCAGTGCTCTAGCACATAAAAAACTTAAAAATATTCTTGGTTACATAGATATTTACTGTAGATTAAAATAGCAGTGGTGCAATCGGACGCAATGGCCACTATTTTCCATACTGAATCGCACGTACACACAATGGTGATGGTTTTAATGTGCGTTACTGAAGGTCCATTTAAGATGCAGTACTTGTATCCTTTAATTACTATTTCAGTTGATGAATCTATAATACTTTTAAGGACCATAGTAATTTTATAAAATTATAAAGCAAGTGGATATTTTTATGAGTTTTGTTAATTCAATGCCAAGAATCAATCGTTTGCCTAACTGTGACCGCCGTATATATGATTACTCACTCTAGGAGCTGACTTAGATGCTAATGGTTACTCAGGTACGCATTTTCAGCAGTCACCAGGGTAGAAACTTTCAACTTGTTGCACAGGTCAGTCCAAACAGACGAACAAGAACTATTTTAATGTTGCTAGTTATGCAGTTCACTTTAACATCGAGTTTTGATTCTGTTATGCATCTATTTTTATTTAGCTAATCTGTGGCCTTAGAAAGTATGAGCGTATGGCAAATAAGGGGCACAAAATTATAACACCAAAGGTGTTGTAAAATGTGTCAAAAATAGAAATGATATGAGTATTTCAGTTAGTTTATGACAGGAACGATAAGGAACTCTTTATTGGTCATACCATTATCGGAATTCAAGCACTTGTGTGATCAGTTCGTAGATGGAATGGGGAAAATTTTATGGACACACAAGAACACCTACTTAATGAACTACATTGAATCATTAATATAGCCTACCAACCAAATAATATGCCAGAGGATTTGTCATGGTTGTTGGTTGTAGGAAACACCGATTGTTTAAGCTAAGTGTGGGTCTGGTGTGAAGTCACAGCGCTAGCCTTCAACTCCACGTAGCACAACCTAGCGTTTCCCGTTGCATCTTCTTATGGACCTTAAATTAACCTAATTGGAACTCATTAGTTCAGCATGGCTAGCTTACTAAATAGTTTAAGGGAACTGACGGTAACCTTGAACTGGTAAACTGGATACTGGCAGGTCTGTTAAGGAACAAATATTCGTTTGTCCCTGTGTATTGCCAAAGTTTTGAAAGCATCAAAT